GCCACCAGGGCCTTCCTTCCTGGAGTGGGCAGGTGTTGGGGAGACTGGAAATGGTGATTTGGGGCATCGTGGCCCCAGCAGCGCCCTCCTGCTGCTTTCAGTGAGGTCACCGGCAGAGCTGCTGATGAGGAGGTGTAGGGCTGGAGAGCTGAGGTTGTCCTAGGTCAGCCTCGGCCTGAACAGCGCCTTGCTTTCCTTCTGGGGCCAGGCCTGTGAAGGTCAGGGCTTCCTTAGCTCTTGCTGAGGGTGCTGGGCCAGCACAGGGTTCTGGTTGCCAAGTGAACTCATTGGGAGTGTGGAGAGGCGCTCAGAGCCTTCCTGCTTGCTCTACCCATGGCTGTTTGGGGACTCTGTGGCTCTGTGGAGTCCTGTCTTTGAGCACAGTCTGCACAGCCCCTGGCCTTGGGTCTCTCCTCTCTAGGCCACTGTTCTCAAAGTGCAGACTTGGGACCCCCAAGTTCCCCTCTTACATGGGCAGGGTCAGTCTTGGACTGCAGCCCAGGGGACTCTGATGCTATCTCCTGGTGATCTTGGGGCCACAGGAGGGAGGTAATGCTTTGGCTGTCACCTGAGGCCAGTGTGGTGTGTTGTGTAGATGTGCTGGGTGGAGAGGTGAAGACCACAGGCCCAGAGTGCAGTGTCTGGGACAGGAAGGCACCTGCATCTTAGGTTCATCGATCTGATCAAGCAACAGGACTGTGGGCCTGTAAAACAGCACTTTACAGGCTGAGGAAGGAGAGTTGTGAGTTCAAGCCCAGTCTGGGACATTTAGCCAGACACTCTTTCAAATTAAAACAAACAACAACAACAACAAAATTAAAAATGGGCTGGGAATGTAGGTCAGTGTGAAAGGCACTGAGTTAAATGCCCAGTACTGCAAAAACAAAACAAAACTCCCAAGAAACTGATTTATAAGTACTGCAAATGTCTTTAATCCTTCCTCGCTTGCTTGCTGTGGCGTGGAATGCAGTAGACTGGGAGTAATGGGTGTTTATCCTGCGGGGGGTGGGGGAGACAGGGTCCTCTCCATTTTGATCTGGACCTGTCTGGGCCCCCCACCCCCACCCCCAGCCCAGAGCCAGTGCTACAGCCTGGGGTCCTGGCTGCTTAGGGAAGGCTGTGGTCCTGCTCCGCTGATAAAGGCAGCTCTTTGTCCCTGCTTTTGTGACTAAGGGGACTTGTTGACTCAGTGACTCTGCTCCTACCCACAGAAGCCAGGGCTTTGTTACTGCAGCAGGATGGGACAGGCAAGCAACCTAGGGCTCACCTCCTTCCCACTAACATGCAGAGGTTCCGCCCCGCCCCGCCCTGCCCAGGTTCCTGCCCTGGGCTGCCATCCTCTTACCCTCTCCTGGGTCCAGCAGGTGGCCCATTGTACTCCAGCCTCTACAGCTCCCCCTTCCTGAAGTCCTGTCTGGATGGGAATCTGGGGGTGAGCTCCGGTGAGGGAGGGGGCAGGAGCTCTGTCAGGGCCCCAAAGCCAAAAGGTTTCTTATCCTTTTTTCTCCCCAGTACCTCTGGAGGATGGCCCCAGACTCTTGAAGTTGAGCACCCCACTGAATGTCAAAATCCTGTGACTTCCTTACATTTAGAACACATTGACTTCCTTACATTTAGAACACATTGGTTGAAGTAGAATAAGCGCTTGCCTGCCAAGTGCAAGGACCTGAGTTCAATCCCCGGTTCCGCAAAAAAAAAAAAAGAACACATTGGTTGAAAAGGCAGTATGATCCTAGGAAGTCAATGCAGGTTTTTCTTTGCCAGGGATCTACATCTTATTCATCACTTGAGCCCAGCAGCAGCTGATGCGTTAGTGTTTTAGGGTGCTGGTTGGACTTGGCTGCAGGTTGAAGAGGTGGGGGGTGGGGGAGGGGATCAGCGCCTCTAATTAGCACCAGTGTTTGCCAGACTCAGTTGAATTTGAGGACACCTGCTTGACACCCTGGCTTGCAACAGCTGAGGCGCTTTCATGCCTAGAGATTCAGCCCATCCTGCAGCCCTGGGTGGCCTGGGTGATGGGCTTGCTCACATTGACATTGCCAAGGCGGGGGCTCTCTTCCGGCCAGTGTGAGGCTGGGATCTGCCTTCTAGAAGCTTCCATGCCAGCACTCTGCCCAGACTTCAGATGTGTTCCTAGGTGTGACTGGCAGCAGGATGAAGAATTTCTCTCCCTGATGTTGTTTTGCCCCTTTAAAAAGGTGGGCAGGCACCTGAATGCTTTAGCTACAGGGTGGGGCTCAGGAGTCCTGCTCTGGGAAGCCCTTATCCCATAACTCCTAGAGCCTGTGACCACACTGAAAAATCTTATCACAGTGAACTCATCCTAAAATGGATGGGTTTGGCCACGGAGTGGTGCCTGCCTAGGGCTGCATGCAGGGCAAAGGATGGCAAGGAAATGCGCAGCACCAGGAGCGTGGAAGCTGGCTGGCTGGCTGCGTTTCTGAGACTGTGCTCCTTATCTGCCAGAGATGCAAATCTGGAGATGCAAATCTGAGCCCTGCCTGCTGCACCTTCAGGCAGTGTTAGGAATGAAAAGGTCAGGGGTGGAAAGTGTTTCCTCTGACCTTCCCTGCTGGGCCTCTCTCCAGGGTCCTTCCACAAAGCCCCACATGACCAAGACAGAGAGGCCATCACTCCTGGTTCCCCAGACCCCTGTGTCACACCCATGAAACCCCAGTCATAGGAGAGACAACCTTCTGCCTTTGTGTTATCAAATCACTTGAGCTTCTAGGGTCTGTGCTATGGGTGGGGAAGGAGCCCTTGCTTTGGAGAACAGAAGCCATGAGGGTGGAGACCTTCCTTATCAGGAGGTATTTGATTTGTTCTGTGAGCAGCTGGTTTTCCAGGGGTCTGGGAGGTACAAGGCTGGCTGGCTGAGCCCACCTGTCTCTGTACAGCCCTGAGCAGTGGCCAAGCATTCTGGAAGGATCCAGGTCAGAGCTGACGCCTGGGAGACCCCGTGAGGTCTTGATGGCAGTTTGTTGCATGTGGGAGCCCAGTAAGCCTGCTAAACCAGAAGTCACACCCTGAACTCCAGGGTCACCTGGCACCTTGGTAGTAATTCAGGTTTGAACTTGGTGGTTTCTGCTGATCCAAAATCTTTTCCCCTTCTGAGATGCTTTTGTAGAAAGTCTCAGCTGGAGGGGATTGGTGCCCCTCAGCTTCAGAAAAACTGGGGGCTGGGAGAGGAGATTGGCCACCCCAGGCCAGGAACTGGTCTGCCAGTTTCAGTGGAAAATGGGTTTGCTTAAGAGCTTGTTGTGTAAACAAGATCACACAGGGATAAGCTGAGCAGAGCCCAGGGAACAAATTGTTTCTAGGGTAGACCTAGTCCTCTTATCTAGCCTGTAGCAGCCCTGCTCTTGGGAAACTTAACCTGCCAGGGCTTCTCCTGTAGGTGAGAGGCCAGCCTCCTGCATTTCCAGCTTTGGGTTGGACCTGGGCTCTAGCCTGTCTCCCTGGCCTTGGCTGCGTCTGCTGCTCACCTGGGCCGCTGGTCCTGTCTCCAGTCCTGCTCTTCCCAAGCGCAGTCCAGGCTTGCCTCTTCAGAGGCTGGATCTCCTGCCCAGCATGAGCTCTCTTTCCTAAGGGTGAAGTGGGGCATCCAGAGAGGCTAAGCACATGATGTGCATAGCCATCCCCCACCCTGTTGCTGAAGGCTGGGTGCTGTATCTGAAGTGCCCTCTGGGTGGTATAGACAAATGTGGCCTGATGTGGGACAAGGGGTGGACTTCCCTTGTGGATGGGCCGCAGTGGACTGTGGATGGGCCGTGAATGCCCTTCGGAGGCCAGCACCTTTCCTGGGGGGGAGGAAGGCACAGTGTGGCTTTTGTGCTTTCGAAGGAAATGCAGGGCTATTTCTAGCCTTTCGGTTTTGCTCCTGGCTGAAGCAAGCTTCTGCATGGGCTCCTGGGAGAACACCTGCAGAGTGAGGCTGTGGCCCTGTGGCCAGGCCTGTGGTGGCTTCTTGGGCCACCTTGAGGTGGCCCTGCCTCCTGGACTGTAGCCACCAACAGTCCTGCCCCAGTCCTGGGATGCAGATGTACTTAGGGGCTCCATTTGCAGGTGGGGAAACTGAGACTTTAAGAGGCTTAATGATGGCCTGGGGCCACTCACCTGGCAAGTGGCAGAGGTCAGAGGTCTCTAATGCCTCCAGTTGAACCATGCCATTCTGTTTCTTTGCTCATTCTTTATTCCGATTCCTGATGGGCTGGTGAGATGGATGCTTGTCAGAGCCAAAGTCTCACTGCCCAGCAGGACTCAGAGCTGCCTTTCCTGCCACCTGTTTGCTGGGTCCTCCTACCCTCAGCTGCTGACCTGATCTCCAGGCCCCCTCCACCCTGCTTTGCCTCCTCCACGCTCCTGTCCTCCGTCTTGCAGGTCAGCCAGTCTCTTGGAACTGGGCTGGACAGGATGAGCCACATCCCCACCTCATTTCCTGGCGCCCCCTCCACACAGAGCCTCCTAGCCTGGCCTCAGTGGAGCCCAGGCCAAGAGGTGCTCTGTCCTTCCTTCCCGCATCCTTGCTGTGGTGAGGAAATGGCCCTCAGGCTGGGTCTGGGGCTGCCCTGAGTTTAGGAGCTCTCCCACACCACCTGTGCTGCCGTGACCCCGCCCACCTGGTGTCCCCCACCACTGGAGGCTGCTTCTCCTGGTCAGATCATCCTGGGGTGGTTCTGGGAGTGTTTCAAAGCTCCCTGGCTAGGGCCTCCAAGACTGATTCTCAGTGTAGGGCTGAGTGGTGCTCTGTTAACATCCTGTGTGCTTTCTGAGAAGCCTGGGCTGCTGACCAGACCCAAGTTCATCATGGGAGAGCCTTGGCCCCATGTGGGCTGTTGTTAGAGTTTCTGGGGTGCAAGGTTGAAGGCTGCATAGAGCTGAGGCCCCAGAGCCAGAGGCAAGGGTGCCCTCCATGGGTCACCCGTGCTGTGTGGGCTGGGGATGTCCTTTCAGTTGTGTGGGACAGGCTGTGGCTCATGCCCTTCTCTGATCCTTTTCAGCAAATAGTGGCTACGAATGTGCCCCCTGAAGACCAGGATGGCTCCGGGGATGACTCTGACACCTTCTCCGGCTCAGGTGCAGGTAAGGCTGACACGGCTCCCAGGATGGCAGCAGGAGGACATGGTCAGAGCTAGGTTGGGTGGTTTCCCTGTCCTCACCCAGCTGCGCTGGCAGGAAGGAGAAATGCATTCCCAAAAAACACGTTCTCATTCACTGGGCAGCCTTTGGAACCAGCCCTGGGAGGCCTACGTGCTTCGTCTGAGCTTCTGTGTTCCCATCTAGCTTCTGGTTGTTGTGAGACAAGATCTTGCTAGCCTTGAACCCACCATGTAGGCCAGGCTGCACTCAAATTCATGGCGATCCTCCTGCCTCAGCCTCCCCAGTACTGAGATTACAGGCATGTACCACCATGCTTGGCTACCACCTGTGAAATGGGGATAGAACCCAGTGCATAGGCTGAGAGCTGCAAGGCCACACAAAGCCTGCTGGTGGACACTTGCCGTCTTTTCCCTTCCCGAGTTCCCCATGCCCTGTATCAAGGATCTTGGGGCCTCAGAGGAGGAGCAAGAGCTCAGCATGGAGCTGAGGCCTGAGAGTCGGGTGGCAGGAAGCAGCACCCGTCCCAGGGGAGGCCAGGCAGGGTGTGTGCCTTGCCCCACTCCCTCTGACCATCCTGAAAGTCCTCCCCAAGTGGCCCTGGGTTCTTCCTCCTGGCTCTAGAGTTAGGGCTATCCCTGGGCAGCTGCAGTGGGAAAAGGCAGTTTGCTTTTTTTTGGTTCTGCAAACTGAGTCAGTGTGCTCTCTCTGGAGGGGGTCTGTTCCTTGCTGGCTGTGGACACAGGCATGGGTCCCCCGGGCCAAGCCTTCCTGACACACTGTGCTCTGGCCCTGCTTCAGGTACTTTGCAAGACATCACCACATCCCAGCAGACCCCCTCCACCTGGAAGGACACGTGGCTCCTGCCAGTCATGCCTACGGCTCCAGAGTCCAGCGGCAGGGAGGCCACCGCTTTCTCCACCCCCATCCTACCAGCTGGAGAGAGGCATGAGGAGGGAGAGGCGGCTGTGATCTCAGAGGCCAGACCCGACATCACCGCCCTGGAGAAGGAGGTGAACCCTGAGCCCAGGGAGCCCACGCAGCTCCCCACCACCGAGGGGGCCTCAGTGTCTGGAGCCACCACTGCCCAGGAGGCCACCACCTCCCAGCCCCCCAGGGACATACACCCTGGCCAAGCTGAGACCACGGCTCCTGCAGCAGCTGGCCAACCTGATGGCCATGCTTCCAGTGTGGAGGATACACCTCCTTCTGCCACCGAGAGCACTGCCGAGGAGGGACCCTCCCATCAGCTGCCAGCGGGAGAAGGCTCTGGGGAGCAGGTGAGCGGCTCGGTGCTTGGTGTGGGTCCCATTACTGTGTCCTGTGAGCACGCTGTGCCCCTGCCCAGAAGCCAAGCGCGCAGGGCCTTCCTCTGCCTTACTGTCTTAGTTACTGTTCTCTCGTTGCTGGGACAAATATCCGACACTCAAAATGAAGGAAGGAAAGGTTTATTTAGCTCACAGTTACTGGAGGTTTCAGTCCATACTCAGCTGGGCTCAAGGCAGAGCAGCACAGGGCAGAAAGCAACCTTTCATGGTGGCGGCAAAGAGCAAGAGTGCAAGGGAAGGGGTAGCAGCAGCTCAAGCAGCTAGCTTCTCTTCCCACCTTACATTGTAATGCAAATTACCTGCCCCAGGGTAGGGGAAGTACTCAGACCTATGGGTACTTCCCAGTACTTACCCACCTATGGGTAATCCCAGCAGTACTAAGACCCATAATCCCAGCCTTGGATCACACATAATCCCAGTGGATCATGAGTTAACACAAACTCTAGAAGTCCTCACCCCATGACTGCATGAGGCTTTGGGGGGACAACTAGACACAAACCATAACACTTACCCATGGCAGGATGGACTGACTCATTGGAGGGTCAGGGCAGGAGCCCTCAGAAGTTACGGGGAGAGGGCTTCCCAAATAAGTGTTTTCACAAAAGTGTGCGAGTGCGTGCTTTGTATCACTTTTACCTGCCCTGATGCAGCCAGGGTGCGGTGCAGTGAGGGGAGCAGGGCAAGGCTTTGTCCTGGAGGGAGCTTGTGGCAGTGGCACCTGCTCAGCCTGTCCTCCTCCCCCAGGACTTCACCTTTGACACATCTGGAGAGAACGTGGCTGTGGCTGCAGTGGAGCCTGACGACCGGAGCGAATCTCCTGTGGATCAGGGGGCCTCACAGGGCCTCCTGGACAGGAAGGAGGTGCTGGGAGGTGAGTGTGAGGAGGAGGCTGGGCTGGGGGAGCTGGCCATCCTCAGCCCCTGCCTGCTGCCCAGCCCCAGGGGAGGGACTGCAGCTGACCCTCACACAGTGAGCTGAGCTGGCCTGTTCACCTGCCCTAGGGGTCATTGCCGGAGGCCTCGTGGGGCTCATCTTCGCTGTGTTCCTGGTGGGTTTTATGCTATACCGGATGAAGAAGAAGGACGAGGGCAGCTACTCCTTGGAGGAGCCCAAGCAAGCCAATGGTGGTGCCTACCAGAAGCCAACCAAGCAGGAGGAGTTCTATGCCTGAGGACACTTTCCCCATGCCCCTGCCGCTCACTCGGCCCCCACTTGCCTCTTCAAGAAGAACTGCAGGCCCTGGCCTCCCTGCCTCCATGCTGCCCCCCTGGCACTGGGCCCTCTGGATGGTCCTACCCCGGTGTGTGCTGGGAGCTCACTCTGCTTCTCTGATCTCCACCTGGAGGTTTGGGCACGAGGTTTTCTCGCCTGTGACTTTTCCACATCTATGCCTGGCATCACACCATTCTGACTCAGTTTCTCCAAACTGGAGCAACCCCTCCCAGACCCAGCCGTGGTGAAAAAGGGGACCCCACTGCTTTGGACCTGGATGGCCTGCTGTGGCTGAGGATCCTGGGGAGGGGAACTTGCCGACCCCGTAGCACTTACTGTACAGACGGCGGGCTGGGGTGGGGGCCGCCGTGGCGGGGTGGCATTCAGGCTCCATCGGGATTCACTTTCACTGTGGGGAGGCCTCATCTAGATGCCAACTTGTTTTTGCACATGTCTCTGCTAGTTTCTCTGTTGGTAGGCCCCATAGACTTCATTACTCCCCAGGTAAGTTAAGCCAGTTGATTTGGTATTCCCCTACCTTGCTACCCTAATCTACTTCCAGGAGAGCGCATCAAGGTTAAGAAGATGTGTTTATGTTTTTGTTTTAACTAGGAGAACCAAATCTGAAAGCCAAGCACAGGGTTATTTTGTGTGTTGTCTCTGAGTTCATCACTCATGTACAGCAGGGTATGGAGCATCTGGTTGGTGGCTCCGATTCTGCTGGCCTATTGGCGGGCTGGCCAGTCCAGGCACTGGGGTCTGGGGCAGCCACCTCTTGAGCAATCCTGCTTGTGTCCATGAACTCAAGGCCACAGAGTGGGTCAGGTCACTGTGACGTTGGAGGGGCCTCGGAGGGCATCTAGCCCTGGCCCTCAGGCTGGCCTGGAGGAGAGAGGACTGGGCGGGGTGCAGGGTGGCAGTGATGCCAGGCACTCTCCTGCTTTGGGCCTTGTCTCTAGGGACACTGCCTCCTGGAAGCTGGCAAGAGGTGTCACAGGCACCACTGCTACTGGCTCCTCCACCGAGAACCAAGTGTTCTGGCTGCTGCAGCTGCTTCCTGGGCTGGAGTCAGGGATGTTTCCCAAAGAGTGATAGTCTTTTGCTTTTAGCAAAACTCTACTTAATCCAATGGGTTTTTCCCTGTACAGTAGATTTTCCAAATGTAATAAACTTTAATATAAAGGAGTCCTGTGAACTCTGCTGCCTTGTCCTTCCTGGGCTGCGGTGTGGACGTGTCCAGCCTTTTCCTGAATGCTGGTGGCTTGGGAAAGGCTGGCTAGAGGCTTTGTTCCTTTGCCTCTCTGGCAGGGATGGATTCCTGGTCCAGAGTCCCTCGGGTTGATCTGATTTTGTTTTATTTTGCCTAAAATTCTTCTGAAAGTCAGCAGGTTGAGCCCAGGCTTTGTAAGGCCTGTCTGAGGCCAGGCTGTCCAAGTGGGACTCTGAACACAGCCTAAATGGAGGCTGTGGCCTAGGGGGTGTGCAGCTAGATAGCCCCCCTCCCACACCTTCACAGGACTGAAGGCCCGGCCTTGGGCCCTGCAACATCCTGCCCTCGATTACTTAACTCGACAGTGTTGTGGCTGCCCTGTTGGCTGCTCCTAGAGGTGACCTGTCTATGGCTCAGGGACCATGGCTGAACTGAGGGATGTGGCAACTGATTCTGGACTCTGCTGGAGTGTTTGACTGCATGTGGCCGGGAGAGGGGCATGCCCCTTACCAGTGTGGGATGCTGCCCGAGCCCCCAGCTGGGCCCACTCATGTGACTGCAATAAACGGTGCTTGTCCTTGTGGACAGCAGATGCTCTGTGGTGGTGGAGTCTCTTTGGCCTGGTGGTGTCCTGCTTTGTCCCTTTCTTGGATGGGTGGCTGCCTCTGGCCATGCACATGCCCCATGTAGAGTCATTGGGGCAGCTCAGATCCCTCTTGCAGTGGAAGACTGAGCCCATCTCTGCCTCCTCATCCAAGCTGCTGAGCAGACCTCCCTACTTCACCTCCTCCACAGCTCCCCAAGGCTTAGGGCTCTGGCTAGGTCGCCCTCTTCTCCAGGCCCCAAACGGCTCCCTGCTGGCTCTCAGAGTTTGCTTTCTATTCAGTTTGCTCATTATGCAACCAGAAACAAACCTTAGTAGCCAACAGTGCTGAGTGCTAAAGGCCTAGAAGTACTGTCAATACTAGAGACCAAGGACAGCTGAGATTGGGGGAGTTGAAGTGGAAGGCACCAAGGGAGCCTCCTTGCTCTGGGGATCCAGGTGCCTCCCACAGGTGTCCCCCACCCCCACCCCGCTTTCTGGCTCTGGATACAGGGCAGCCCTGGACCTGGGTCCCAGGCCTGTCCTGGGCAGTGAAGAGTAGGAGGAGCCATGTTGGCCCCACTCCTGCTGTTGGGGCAGAGCCTACAGTTCCAGGTGAGCCAGGTGGCAGTTCCTTGTCTCTTCCAATGCACTCCTGAGAGTTGGAAGCTACGACAAAATTCATCCAGCAAACATGGAAGACTGCCCACTTCCTTCCAGGCCATGAGATGGATAGTGAGGGCACAGAGGCTTGGTTGCCTAGATATTTAACAATTTTATTGATGTCCTTTCCACATAGGACTTGCAAGGTTCCAAAGCCCCAGCCACCAGTGTCCTCTGCACCTTTTCCATGTAGTTGGACTGCCTCTTTCCTGTTGCTTTGTTCGGGCCACCATACAGAGCCTCTGGGTCTGTGTTTTCCCACTGGGGTACCATGAGGACAGCATTGTGCCCCAGAGCAGACTTTGCTCACTGAGAATCTAAAATCGAGTTCCTTGGGAAGCCCTCAGGCAGTCTCTGCCTACATCTTCGGCCTCAGCTTGCCTCTTGCCCCTTCTCTTCCTGAGTTTCCACTTCCATGATTCTTCTACCTTACTTTTAGCTTGGGCCAGCAGCAGGGCCTGCACTATGCATAGGAATGGGAGACTCTCAGAAATCCCGGAGTCTTTCGGATCACAGTATGTTCTAAACTAATGAGCCACCTTCTCTGGGATGGATTGCGCCACATCCTGAATCTGCAGCTGGGTTGTGGGCTTACATTACCCCTAGGCTTTTGCTCTAGGCAAGTTGAAATGTCGAAATTAAAGATGCTGGACCTCTGTTCTGTCCTGCTCCCAGGAGGGTGTCACCCCTGGAGATAGCTGTGACAGTGGTGTTTACATGTTGCTCCAGGGCTGGCAGGTAGGAGCTGGGCAAAGCACCAACCCCAGCTCAGAGTCTGGGTGGCTGATGTGGCCCTTGGACCAGGTCTGGGAGGACAAAGTGAAATTGGCTTCCAACACAGAGGGAAAGGTCTGTCAATGGCTCCAGAGGCCTTGCTCATTGTGACAGTCTGGCAGGTGTGGGGAGAGGCCAAGGCTGTCTAGTTAGAGCTGGAGATGCAGAGCTGGAGGTAAGGACATGGCCCAGCGATGGTAAGGGGCCAGGATGATGACAGGAAGGGGAGCAAGATTTTGATGAGTGACTTTCTGTTCCCCCATGGTGCACTTGATGAGGATGGGGACTCCCAGGAGGAGAACAGACAACAGCCCAAGAGATGGGCAACTTCCTGCCCCTTCAGGGTTGGACATGAGTGGGCTCCAGGGAGAAAAGGCTTCTGCCCATCGGTATAGTGGTGCCCCAGGTGGAGGAGCTCCAGGATTGCTCCAAGATCTGCCTCAAGCCCACAGGACCTTCTCTTCTCCCAGCCAGAAGAGAGGAGCTGTGTTGGCCAGAGGTGGCTGGGGAGCTGGTCTCTAAAGTTAGGTGAGCAGGAGTTGCAGAGGTCCTGAGCTGCGAGAATAGAGTCCTATGGAAACTGCCCTGGGCCCCGAGTCACAGAGGGTAGGAACTGCCAGCTCTGTCAATGGCACAGGCCCACTCACCACCCCCAGCTCCCTACAACTGCCATACCTCACTTCCTGTACCTACCCGCGATCACTTGTATGGCTGTCACCATGAGTGTGCAAGGAGGGGTGTGTCCCCCAGTCAATGTGGGGTGAGTTCTCTACCCTCTTGCTTCTAGGGCACTCCTCTTGGGCACCCCTTGTCCTTTACTACACCCACCTATGTCCACAGTAGTTTCCAGCTGCTCTTTGAGGCAGGAGCCAGGCACACAGGACTCTGTGAAGGTCGGGAGTCTCTGCCTGGAGGTGCCCATTGGTCTGAGCTAGCTTGCCTCAAGAACACCTAGAAACCTATGAAACACACCCGGCACCCTCTCCCCTACCACAATGGCTAGAAATGGGAAGGACTGTGCAGCCCTGAGGGCAGGCAGCCCACAGGTGCTGCCCAGCCAAATGCCTGCAGGTAGTGTAACTACAGTGAAATCCTCACCTCCCTTGCGAGCCAAGTAAAACAGGGGCTATGTCTGCTACCAGGTGTCTATAAGAACATTCACAGCAGCTCTAGTTACCATCGTCTAGATGGGGAAGCAGGTCCACCAGCAGAACAGATATATTGTGGCATAATTCCACTGTGGAATAACGTGCAGCAATGAAAAGAGACAAAGGACAGGCGCATGCGCAACATAGACGAACCTGTTAGGCTGTGCATTCAGTGTAAGGCGCCAGATCCAAAAGAGACCTTGTTGCATGTCCCATCTATGAAGGTCTGAAGCACGCAGAGCTCAATGGTGATAACAGAAGCTAGGGGACACCTCTGGCCCAGGGTGCAGTACTGACATGCAAGGGACACAGAGGAACTTTCCAGGGTGCCGGAAGTGTTCTCTGGCTTCGTGTGGGTGGTGATTGCAAGGGTGAGTACGCAAGCAAACCAACAAGTCATACGTGCAGACGAGTGTACTTTGTGTGTTATTCTGTGATAGGAAAGTTAGAGGGAAGAATTACATTTATAAAAGGATTTTTGAGAGTCTAATTAGTCCCTTTAAACCCCACCGCAGGTTTTGTCGCAGAAACAAGGGAGGCCCACATGCCCCACGTTTGCCTCAGGATCCCAGAGGACTCTAATTTATGGGCAGCGAGGCCCAGGGCAGCAGCGGCTCACAGCTGCGCTCCGAACAGCACCTCCCAGCCTCTGGCCTGGGCCTGGTGGGCAGGCTAGGCAGCCCCTTGCTCAGATGCCAGCAGGGTGGGCGCTGCCTCTGGCCACCAAGTGCCCTCCTCCCTCGTGGTGGCTGCTGCTGCTGCTCGGTTCCTGGAACCTGCCCTGCCCAGCCGCCCTTTCCAGCACTTCAGTCTGGGAGCCAGGCCGCTCCTCCACTCCAGGAAAATATTTGTTCAGGGACTTGGCACCCACAAAAGAGGAAATAAAAGCCACCTTGGAGTCGAGCGGGCGGCCCCGCAGCTGACTGCTTTGTCTGCCCCTCCAAATTGCCTCAGTTCGGCGTCTGGGTTGAGATGCAAGGATGCCACCCTGCAGACAGACCTGCTTGGGGGATAGGCCTGCAGTGTCTGCTCTTGGTCCGTTCCGTTCTCAGTCATCTGCTGTCTCAGTCAGCAGACACTTATGCCTACTGTGTGCTGGCCACTCACGAGCCCCGTACCCTGCAGTAACCCTGGCTCCTACTGCCCAAGAGTGGAGGGAGAGGTCCAGACAGCTAGGGGGTCAGCTGGCCGAGACGAAGCTCCAGTCCCAGTGGGCTGTGGATGAGTGGAGCACAGCTGGAGGGAGAGGAAGGCCATGTCCAGGGTGATGGGGCAGGGAGCGTCCAGCACAAGCACTGGCAGCACCTGGTACTCTGGTGTGCAAGGTCAGCGGGGCAGGGGAATCCTGAACAGAGACTGCAGGGGAAGCGCTCGGTACCGGAGCCAGCTCGGACTTTACCCTCAGGGTGGGGAAGGCGTGTGTTTGTTTTGAAACATTTAAACATACTGACTTTAGCTCTTGCTAATATAAAAAGTAGAAAGTAGAAAATCGAATTTTCCACAAATCCCTCCACCCAAATGTTTCCTGGTAACATAAATTCAGACTCATCCATGTGCACATGCATAGAAAGCTAAATGGGAGAGCGCAGACCAGCAAATCCTCTTCTCTGCTTTGTGGGCCAAAGGCAACTGATGGGGCCGGGGAGATGGCTCAGTAGAGTAAATGCTTCCCTGGCAAGCACAGAGGCCTGAGTTCAATCCCTGGTTCCACCAAAAAAAAAAAAAAAAAAAAAAAAAAAAAAAAGAGGCGACTCTACATAACAGGTTTTTTTTTTTTTTTTTTTTTTTTTTTTGGGCAGAAACAGGGATTGAACTCAGGCCCTTGCTCTTGCCAGGGAAGCGCTTACTCTACTGAGCCATCTCCCCGCTTCTCTCCCCTCCCCTCCCCTCCAACAGGTTTTCAGAAAGTGTTTCCATGTATGTACCTGTGACTGTAGGAAGGGCATGGTGGTACATGCAGTGATCCCACAAGACTAAGGCCAGCCAGGGCAACTTAGGGAGACTGTCTCAAAACCACAACTAAAATGGGCTAGCAATGTAGGTCCGTCCATGGGGGAGTGCCTTGGAGTTTGATCCCCAGCACCATAAAACAACAACAAACTCATACCCGGTGGGCGGGGCTCACACAGCTATGTAGCAGTGTCTGATCCGTTTCATCTGGGCAGTGCGGACTGCTCTGCTCCATGCTTGAAAGGTTGTGTGCACTTAGCCATGCCAATGGACGGTCCCCACCTATGTGCTCCTCGAGGTGGGCTCCTCGGAAACGGTTGTTTGCTGTTGCCATCGAGGTGGGACTCACCCTGCTGAACTCTTGTGGACATGGCGCACGTGGGTCTTTCAAGTCCAGATGGAAGGAAGGGCATGCGCCTCTCAGTTGGCCTCCACAAGCTCCACCAAAAATGCCCTACCCTGCCTGCCACACAC